CCCCAAAACCCCAAAACCCCAAAACCCCGTTTTATTTAATCAGAGTTGAAATTTCTACTTAAAAGCAACCAAGAACCATTCTGCTCGATTTTCCTATAATATTCATAAAATATACCTCTGCTGGTATGACTTTATTAATTAGTCGAAATAATTGAAGTAAGGCCAGCCTTGGCACCCAATAAGTTACTGAAAATGGGAGATATTAAACTTGATAACAAAGAGTTTTATGAGAAGGTCAGCCGAATTTCAAAGACATTCAAAGAGTCAGACCTTGGTTTTGATACGGTCTTTTGTGTCCTAGGGAAGATGAAAGATACCATAAAGTACAGAGCAGCTTCAACTGTGTTCCTCTGGTTGCTAAGATATGAGTTTACAGAGACTATAATCGCATTCCAGCCTGGCAAAGTTGTGTTCTTCACATCCCAAAAGAAACTTGAGTACTTAAAGTCGTTAGAAAAGCCTGAAAATGAAGAATTCAAAGATTTTGAAGTTGTCCTAGTCAAAAGAGACACCAAAGAAAAGGATAAGAGCGGGAACTACAAAAAACTATACAACACTTTGAAATCTGGTCACTCCAAAAAGCCAAAAATATCCTTTTTAAAAGACAAAATTGAAGGATCCATGGAAGGAGAGTTCAAAGATTTCCTCTCAAAATTTTACAAAACTACTGATCCAGATAATGCAGATGAGTTCTTTGAACAAGTTATGAGGAATAAGTCTGATGAAGAGAAAGAGGATATCAAGAAGGCTAATCATTTCTGTACTACACTTTTCAAGAATATCATCGATAAGGTTGAGCAGGTGGTTGATGAAGAAGCAAAGTGACCCCATCACAAAATAATTGAAGAGGTTCAGGCTTTGATAGAGAACAATAACTTCATGTTCCAGTTCATCAAAGAGTGAGCGTCTCATGAGAAGAAGAATATTGATCGTGATTTCTTAGAGATTTCAAACCCGCTTTCAATCCAAAGTGGTGATAATCTTGATCTTAGTCTAACTGCAAGTGCAAACAAGAAGGATCTGTCACCAGATACAATCATCATCACTGTAACCACAAAGTACAAAGATTTGTTTGCTCTGAACTCTAGAACTTTGCTCATAGATCCAAATGAGCAGCAAAATAAAGCCTACGAGGCTCTCTTTGAGCTGTACCAAAGCATCATGCAAAACCTCAAAGTAGGGGCTGAGCTCAGACAAGTTTACAAGATCAGTTATGATGCATTTTCTGAAAAGAACAAAGAATTAGCGAAATTCTTACCCAAGACTTTCGGGTTCGGGATTGGTTGTAAGCTCCAGGAGAAGAGCCTCACAATCAGTCCTACTAATAGCATGAAAGTTGAGATTGGGAATACATTCTGCATCAGAGTCTCACTTGAAAAATTCTGTGAGAAGAAATCAAGAGATTCTCTCTTAATTTCAGAAACAGTAACTATCAATGAAGAAGGAAAAGCAATTCCAAGCTTCAAGATCAAAGCAAGCTACAAGGAAATATCTTATTCCATTAATGAGCCTGACGAAGGAGATGGATCTGAAGAAGGTGAAGACAATGGTGTCATCCGACAATCCAGACTTAGAGACAAGAATGTCAAGAGTAGAGGAGTGGATGAACGTAAAGAACATCAAGACCAACTCTTCATCAAGAAATTGCAGGAACTAAAAACTCGATTTGAAAATAATCAAATTGATCCTTCTTCCAACAAGGTTAAAGTTCATAACCTAAATGAAGTTTGTTCTTACAAGTCAGCCAGAGAATTTCCAAAGGAAGTGTTCAAGAGTCATATCTTCGTCGATGTAGCAAGGGACAGTATTCTTCTTCCAGTTTCCAAAGAGCTGATCGTACCTATTCATGTTAGCATAGTGAAGAATGTATCGCTCACAACTGAGGGAAATTGTGCAAGGCTCAGGATTAATTTCCACGTACCTTCATCAGGGAACTCAAATGTGAGCAGCCATCTCGTATTTCCTCCTCTCAATGGAGTTAATAAGATCTATTTGAAAGAGATGACTTTCAAGAGTCATGATACCAGAAGTTTACCAGTGACTTTCAAAATGATCAAAGATTTACAAAAGAAGTACAAAATGAAAAATCAGGCTGAGACCAACAAGAAAGGATTAGTGAAGCAAGGCCCTCTTCTGAAAATGCTTGGGAATAAATTTCATCTTGACAATCTCACAGTTAGGCCAAACATCTCAGGAAAGAAGACTGTTGGCAAGCTTGAAGTTCATAAGAATGGCTTGCTTTTTAAGAGTACCAAGAACCATGAGCTTGAGATTCTTTATAACAATGTAAAGCATGCCCTCCTCCAGCCCTGTGATGATGAGCTTATTATTCTGATCCATTTCAGATTACTCAATGAGATTATTGTTGGCAGTAAGAGAACCAAGGACATTCAGTTCCTCATGGAAGCTGGTGCTCAATATGATGATATCGATACCAGAAACAAAAGAAACACTACTGAAATGGATGAACTAGAGCAGGAACAGCGAGAAATCGGTCTCAAGAAGAGACTGAATCAGAAATTCATCAATTTTGTAGGCCATATAGAAAAAGCAGCGAAGGAAGATTCCAGCCCATTGAAATTTGACGTCCCTTACAGAGAATTAGCTTTCTACGGAAACACCGGTAGATCAATCGTGAAGATAATGCCGACTGTAAACTGTTTTGTAAACCTGATAGAGTTCCCCTTTTTCGTTATCACCATCGATGAGATAGAGCATGTGCACTTCGAGCGTGTAATGGTAAGTTTATTCACCTCTAAACATTTAGTTGTCACTTAGAAACTTTGACATGATAATAATCCTGAAAGATTACCAGACATGGTTCAAAATCGGGAGCATCCCCTCGAACCAGTTGGATCCGATAAAGTCGTGTATAGAGTAAGTATACATTTTTAACAAATTTATAGCTATTTTGACATAATGTTCAGTGAGGGCCCAGCCACTCTTAACTGGAACAACATTCTAGACGAGATCAGGAGCAACTTCGCCCGCTACCTAGATGACGGAGCCTGGAGTTTCCTTAGAGATGTTGAAGAAGAGCCTGACAGCGAAGAAGAAAAACTTGAGAAAGCTGAGGATAGTGACTATGAAATGGGCTCAGAAGAAGCCAATGAGACCGATGATGACTATTCTGGCAGCGGACAAAGCTCAGACGTGCACACTCAGGAAGAAGAGGAGGAAGAAGAAGATCCTTGCTCCTCCGATGCAGAGAAAAATCTGAAGGATTTTAGAGACAAAGCTAAGAGTAGAATGAGACAAGAGATGAAGCATAAGTATGAGACTGCGATGAAAAATAATAGAGAAAGAGCTAAAAGAAAATAAGCTCTAAGATTTCTCAATAAAATCTTAATTTATCGGGGTTTTGGGGTTTTGGGGTTTTGGGG